ACCTTTCTCTCTCTGTAACTCTGTCTTCTAAAGTGTCACTGTTTAATTATCTGTTGGATTTGCCTGTGTTGAAAGCTGGCTAATGCCGATGCAGTAGTGAACGGTGAAGTTTCTCATTGAGACAGTGTTTTTTTACATTTTTATCACGTGTTCCTTTTTTTTTTCATTTTTCATTAAACGCATAAAAATGTTTGTATATGTAGTTCAAAGGGTAGAAACCAATAAGGAAAAGATTGATAAATTCTGACTTCGCAAAAACAAAAAATGTTAGTAGTCTAGGAAATATAAACTAAACTAGAAAATTACATAATAGGAAACATACAACCAATACAAATATATAATATGCTGTTATTGATCAGTATGAGAAAAGTAAATACAGCAAGATAGGCATAGGGCCCAGCGTGATAGGGCCCAGCACATGCAAGGTGAGGACTTTAGCCACTAGGCTGCAGTGCTGGACCCAAAAATTAAGTATTTAAAAATTAAAGATTTTAAACAGTATGGAAAGAAGTGAATTGGGAAAGCTGCATATGCTGTACATAAATGAGTTTTATGTCTCATTTTTATGAAATACATAGAATCTATATAGTTGCTTTATCAAACAATACATACATATAAATTTGAATAGAGCTTATCCCAAGGTGGTGGAATTGTAAGAGATTTTAAAATTGTCGTCTCCTCCTCCTCCTCCCAAGTTTGCAAAATCTTTATAATCACAAATTATGTGGATAGTGTTTAAGGTATTTAAATAAATAAAGGTAAATAATGTTGTGGTCAGGTCAAGTTAGTGCCCCCTCTTCCCCAGAAGCCCACGTCGCATATCAGAGAACCCCATGTCTGTTTCTGATCCGGCTTCCTGCCATGGATACCCCGAGAGATGGGCAATGGCCGGAATGCTGGGGATGCTGACACCTGCTTGGGAGATGAGGACGGAGCTCGGGGCTCCTGGCGTCAGCCTGGCTGTTGCAGGGATTTGGAAAGTGATTCAGAAGGTGGTAGGTCCTCTCCCTCCCCGTCTCTTCTGCCCTTCAAATAAAAATATACTTAAAAAAAAAAAAAAAAAAAAACCACTGTAACATTTCAGAAATCTGAGGGGGAAAAAAAAATCTCAGGATTCTCATTTGTTACTGCTTTTTACCACTGTCCAAGTGCACCTGTGTCGGGCACAGCTGGACAGGATGGTGTCAGGTGGACATTCTTTCAAGTTGCTGCATGGGCTGTGCAATCTCAGTTAAATGAGTAAATGAACACAAGCTAAGCACCAGGTGGTTTTCGCTTTCTTTCCTGGGAGCTTTTTGCAGCCTGAACCATGCTTTCTTCTCATGGACAAAAGTGAAAGATGGCCAGTGTCTGAATGAGGCCTCAGGAATCCAGCCGCCTTAGGTCCATGCTGCTGGGAGGAGGCGTTAGAGCAGCTCACAGAGCTCGTCTTGGAGGGCCTTTTGAAAAATTCCAAACATGCAGGCACGCACAGAGTAACCACAAATAGTTTGTTAGTGAGGTAGTGTGCTGCGCAGAACAAAGACAACAAAAATACAAACTTTCAAGTTCATGAATCACAGTCTGTTTGTCACCGTCATCTGGTCTGAGCGGTCTGAATGTTAGATTTCTGTAGAATTTCGGGAAACTGTTTCCCCCAGTCAGGGTTTCCCTTCCCTAAACTGTTTGGAGCGTGTCTCGCCCACGCTGTCTGCGGCCACGTCCACAGACACGGCTGCTCCATGCTGGCCTGCCTCTGCCCTCCCTCTGTGGAGTCACTGCTGACGTCTCTAAGGGCCCTCCACTTGCTTTGTCTCACTGCATATACAGAAGACAGTAAAACTTAAGCAAAATTGAATTCCACTGTATTCTTTCTGAAGTTGGCTTTGTTTATCCATGAGTCTGTTTCTCCAAGTGTGACCTGGGGTCCTTGGGAGCAGGTGTGTGTTTTCTTTTCCTTGGTCTGCTGGGATGGCCCTTTCTCTACAGTCCGTGAACTTGAGGGCCAGGGGCTGCAGCCTCCCTCAGATCCCGGCAGCCACGGAGTGGGTTGCCAGCTTCCATCTCCCGCCGCACTCCCTCGGGCTCAGGCACGCAGATACTAATCTTCCCAAACTCTGTGCCGTGTCAACAGTTACAGCTGCCTCAAGGCCATTATCTACTCAGGGTGCAATTACTCAGCAGCCACCTGGCCAGGGAGGTATTTGTGGGCCCCAAAGAACTCATATCCTGAAGAGAGGGAGACTCATCCAGGCAGCGCGCTTCGCAGCAGGGACATTGAAAAGGGTGGGTTACGACTGATAGGAGTTTTCATTTGTGAGGACTTAATCTGATCTGCTTGTGGAACAAGATAGTGTAGATGCACTGGTTGTCCATTTTCTCTGGACAGACTTTGAAGATTCATTTGATTGGTTGGTGATAGTATTGTTAGGAGGACATAGAACTTTATTACATGAGTCTGCCTCTCTGCTGGCCTTGCTGCCCACAGCCCCTGCGAGGGCAGCTGCATCCAGCCTGTGCTGTGGGGAGGGCAGGAAGGCTGAGGCCTCAGATGGTGTGGTGTGTGGCCATCTGGTCACTTGCTCACTGGAGGCGCCTTCTGAGAGAAGATGTCAAGGTCCCCAGAAAGTACTTTCTTGGGGTACAGTGGGAAAAGTTATTGTCCAACCCTTCAACTGATGGGAACCTGGCAGGGCTGGGTGAGGGACTTGGGTGGGTAGTCAGGACAGCGAGCAGAACACCACAGTCCCAGCGTCAGCTGTATCCTCCCTCCCAGAAGAGCCTGTGCCGACAGAGGCCACAGGGCAGCTCCCAGGGCACTAGTGTTTGGTGTGTACACGCACTGCCACCTCAGGACAAGGGTCAGCTGCCCAGCTGCACTGGGCACAGGTGGCCTCACCCAGGCAGTCGAGTCTTCTGGCTAGGTACCGTCCTGTGCCACATCTTTTAGGAAACCAGGTTAGCTGTACCACTATGTTGTCTTTAGTTTTGAGAGCAGAGATTTTCAAGGTATGGACTGAGGCCCCCGGGATTCTCGGGATTCTCGGGGTTCTGTTGTGGGCTATGCAAGGTCTTCCCCTCAGCAGCTTGTCTGAGGCCAGGCTGTCGTCATCAGCTTCAACCAGAACAGCCTACTGCAGCGCACTGAACACCGGACACAAGCCAGACATGGGGCAGAAACAAAGATCACTTGTGTGACTGAAAAACTTTAGTTTTAGAAAATATAATCATTTTCCTAAAAATGTATTACTTACATTAAAATTTTTTTTAATTTTTGTTTTAAAATTTAGAACTGTTTATTTCAAAGGCAGAGAAACCGGTCTACCCCTTGATTTCACTCCCTAGTTGCCCACAGTGGCCAGGGCTGAACCAAGCCAAAGACTGGAACCAGGAACTTGATCCAGATCTCCCACATGGGTGGCAGGGGTCCCAGGACTTGGTCATCCCCCATTGCCTCCCAGGGTGTGCACTGGCAGGAAGCTTGACCAGAGAGCCAGAGCCGGTCCCTGGACCCGGGCACTCCAATGTAGGATCAGGACCAGCTGATCTTCTTCCTGAGATAGTAGGTTCTACTTCCTGCTGTAATTTCTAGTACAGTGAACATCAGTAGATACGGCGTGCCTAACCAATGTTTTGGGAGCCTCAGTATAAAGAGGTCCAGAAGCTGGAGAACGCTGTACAGCTGCACCCTCTGGGGACAGATAGCTACATCCTCTCCCCTTCTCTTAGTCTTCTGGGATAGGGAATGGGCAGGCCTAGGTTTATACAGACAGTGGCTAATAGGTAGCAGGTGCCAGATACGGTAAGGTGGTGGGGGTGGGAGGATGCTGGGTCCTGTCAGTTCTGTGATGTAAGTGCAGGGCTCCTGTGAAGCACAGTTCTGTGCTGTGTCCCCTCCCTGGCACAATAACCCATCCTTGTTTCACATATGCTCAGTATTTACACTCTTGAATGTTAATTTTGCTCTTCGTATTAGCAAGGACTTAGGTGAAGCATTCTTGCCGTGTGAGTTTATTCAGAGCGCTTGTCAGAAGCGAGCCTGTGTGGTCAGCATGAAGCCCAAGACACGGGTGAATCTTGTGATGGGAAGAGTCAGGCTACTCAGATGGCCCCCTCACGACCCCCACATCGTGCCCTCCCAGCCCAGTTCTCACTTGGGGTGTTGGCAGGAGTTTCTGGGTACAGCTGGAGCAACCCCCCTGAATCCCAGGCCCATACTAGAAGGGGTAACATGAACAGCTTGTCGCATCTTCCAGTTGGACCTGGTCCTCCTCACAGACTCCATCCTGGGAGCTCAGGGATGGTGGGACCATCTGACTCACCCAGTCCCATCTGGACCTTGCGTGTTTACCTGGGCATGTTGACTCTCCCCATCGGGACGGCTGTGGCAGCTACAGCTGGTTGTCACAGGGACGTGGGGCGGAGAGGAGGATGGAGCACAGCTGGGGACAGGCTAAGAACCTGTGAGATTCATCCCTGGGTGTGTCTGTGTGAACATTGGGTCACGGTCAGCAAGGCCACCTGGGAACCTCACCTGAGTGCCTGGGCTCGTCCTTTGGTGACGCTGCCCCTGGATTGGATGAGATTACAGACGAACAAGCCGAAAAACATGTCTAAATGTTGATTTTGTAAAAGGTTCCCTTTTGGATTTTTTCCCCCCACATTTTAATTTATTTGGAAAGCAGAAAAAGATGGGACTCTCCCATCCACTGCTTCACACCCCATATGTCTACCAGTTTAGGAACTGGCCCAGGCTGAAGCCAGGAGCCAAGAACTCAGTCTAGGTCTCCCGTGTGGATGGAAGGGCCCCAGCTGGTTGACCCAGCACCTGGTGCCTTCCTGGGTGCACATGCAGCAGGAAGCTGGAACCGGGAGCAGAGCTGGGAGGTGGCTACAGGGTGTGGGCACCCTATGCAACATTCTGCCAGGCACACCCCGCTGTAAGACTGCTTGAGAGCAGCAGGAAGGGCTGTCCCCGCCCTTTGCCCTCTGACCTCAGGAGTTTTGTGTTCTCCCCCCAGGTTACCTGTGCATGACCGATGAGTGGTTCTCCGAGTACGTCTACGAAGTGGTGGTGGACAGGAAGCACGTGCCGGAAGAGGTGCTGGCTGTGTTGGAGCAGGAGCCCATCGTCCTGCCGGCCTGGGACCCGATGGGGGCCTTGGCCGAGTGATTCTGCCCAGTGCTGTCCTCCTCCCGTGGGACCTGAAGTTGCTGCAAAGGACAGATCCAGGGACTGAAGCCAAAGTTACAGAGGTGACTGTTTCCCCACAGGACACGGTCAGACTTTGGGATTTCCAGTCTCCTCCAGGAATCTCTTCGGGAAAGTGTGCTTTATGCTGAAACAAAATATTCATAAAAAGGGAAAAAAAAAAAACGGGACTATCAGGTCACTGTCTATTTTCTCATCCCCAGCAGCTCAGGATCTCTTAGCATTTTAATCACATGTGAATGTTTGTCTTCACTTGGCACAACGGTTTGATCCAGTGTCTGGGTTCTACTGCGACAGGAGAGGATGAAGTGTATGGGGAGGAAACGCCTAAGGCTCCTTGTTCTTAGCGTAGAGCGGGGGAAGGGTTCCCCATAACCGAGCTCACAGCGCTTCCTGCTGCCCGCCAGCAACGCCGTCCTCCCAGGAGGCAGTCACTGACCTCGCTGTCTCCAGGTGACTTCGCGTGCCTCTCACAGCCCCAGAATAGGAGGTTGACCAGGCCTGACACGATTCCTTCCTGTTGTCCTGAAGCGCGGGGAGCTCAGCTCTACTTGGGTTCAAGCAGAAGCTTAGAGAAAGCTGGGTGAGACAACAGCTGAAACCTTATCATGATCTCAATTGTAATTCTTAGGGGAGCTGTAGCCAAGTGGCTGAACTTCTGCCTCTCTGTCGGATGGGGGTCGGGTGGGCAGAAAAATGTGTTATCCGTTCTTTCTGACAACTAGATGGTGCTGAGAAGCTTTTGAATAAAACACTTTGTTAAATGAGAGCACGTTGGCTCGATCTGGGAAGAGCTTGTTTCGCTGTGAATGGGAGCAGCTGGGTTGAAATACCAGGGCTTGCCTGTTTTCACCCTCCACAGGGCACTCCCCGCGCAGCACCCAGCGCCACAGCTCACCGGACCTGGGCCTCCCATGGCATCATGCTGGCAGAGCCAGGGGCCCTGGGGCCGAGGACATGTCGGGTATGAGACTGGGCCTCATTACACTGAAAGCAGATGTGTGGAGCACCCTGGTCCCATGCACCCATCAGCATCTGTGACCCCTCTAGTGCAGCACCCCAGGAATCTAGCCCAGCTGGCTTCATTGGGCTCACATGCAAGATAAGCAAATTACATAGCGAGCTGGAGGGGTGAAAAGTTCTACAGCAAAACAAAACAGAGCAGCTGTGTGAATGAATGAAGACAGGTCTTATCTGAGAATTCTCCGAAACCAGGAAAGAAAAAATAAACTTCTTGGAAAGTGTATGTATCTGTACATGACCAAGTGGAAATATTTCTGGCTCCTCAATGTATATATCTCCATGGGTTGATTCTAGAACCTTCTGAGGAGGCCAAAATGCACGGATACTCAGATCTGTCATTTAAAACAGCATAGTCTCTGCCTGTACCTTTATAGCCAGTTACTTAAAATACCTGGTTGACACTGTACTGCGTACCAGGAAATCAGTCGTGTCGTGCCAAAGGGGAACGTGTACCCACTGAGTATATATGCAACTTTTTCCAAATTGTTTTAATTTTTTAAATTGTTTTTAAAACTTGATCTTCCTCCCACTTGTTCACTCCTCACGTGGCTGCAGTGGCTAGAGCTGAGCCAATCCAAAGCCAAGGAGCCAGGAGCTTTTCTGGATCTCCCACACGGGTGCAGGGTCCCAGGGCTTTGGGCCATCCTCGACTGCTTTCTGGATGAGAAGCAGAGCAGCCAGGATATGAACTGGCGCCCATATAGGATCCCGGTACGTACAAGGCGAGGACTTTAGCCACTAGGCTACCGTGGTAAGCCCTGTTTTAACATTTTTTTAAGGATCTACTTTTATGTGAAAAGGCAGAGTTACAGAGAGAGAAGGAAAGGTTGATCCTCCATTGGCTGGTTCACTCCCCAAATGGCCACCACAGCCAGAGCTGGGCTTCTCAGAAGCCTGGAGCTTCTTCCAGGTCTCCAGGAATTCCAGCATTTAAGCCTTCCTCTGCTACTGTTGCCAGGCCTTTAGCAGAGAGCTTGATCGGAAGTGGGGCAGCCAGGACTCAAACCTGTTCCTGTACAAGATGCCAGCCCTACAGGCAGAGGCCAGAAGCACTACACCTCAGCGCAGTTACTTTCAACATTTTTTGAAAGGCGAGTGACAGAGGAAGAGACAAAGATCTTCCATCCTCTGATTCACCAGCCACCTCAGCCAGGAGTGGGCCACGCAAAAGCTAGAAGCAAGGAACTCCACCAGAGCGACCTGCTTGGGTGACAGGGTCCCAGATGTTCGAGTCTTCATTCTCTGCCTGCCCAGGTGCGTTAGCTAAGACAAAAGCAGAAAAGCTGGTGCTTGAAGTGAAACTCCAGTACAGGATGCAGGTATTATAAGTGGCTCCTTAATCTCTTGGGCCATTACATCTACCCCAAAATAAGTGTTCATTTCAAGATTATTATTATCTGTTGTTGTTGTTGGAAAGGCAGCTAAGATTTACGGAGGAAAGGAGAGACCAAGAGAAAGATCTTGTATTAGCTGGTCCACTCCCCAAATGATCACAGTGGCCGCAGCTGAGCTGATGCACAGCCAGAAGCCAGGAGCTTCTTCCAGGTCTCCCACAAGCTTGCAGGGTCCCAGGGCTTCAGGCCATGTTCTGTGCTGCTTGCCCAGGCCATGCGCAAGGAGTTGGATGGGAAGTGAAGCAGCTGGTAATCTAATAGGCACCCATATGAGATTCTGGCACTTGCCAGGTGAGGTTTTAGCCATTGAACCATTGCACCAGGGTCCCAAATGAAGCAAATCTCTGGCATCACATAAAACACACACAAGATTTAAAAGAGGATGTTATAGATGCTGCAGATACTCCTAACTACTAAAAGCAACAGAAACAAGATTATTTAGGAGCCATGAACACGCAAGCTCAGAAGGGACAGAAAGGGAGAGAGCAATATTTGAAGCTGGAAAGCAGGGGTAGGGAGTCACTGGAAAATGCTGCAGAGATGGAAATTCGAGTCATGAGCCGGTGGTGGCGCAAGTCAGTGAAAAGCCGGTCAATCCCACCTCAAGGCCCCCACCAAGTCCAGATGTGGGAAGACTGGACAGCACGGCCTTGGGGGGAAGGAAGGAAGGAAGGAATACTGAAGGGGTGAGTACTGAATCGGCCTTGGATTGTTTCCCTGCTCCAAACAGCTGGTGAACACGCGTCCATCACAGCAGGAGGAGCCAGTTTCTGGTAGAGAGTAGGGAGAGATGAGGGTGGAAGTATTGCAGGAAGATGTAAGTGGCCTTTATACTGAGTGTGTCCTTGGCCAGCACGGGCTCCCGGAGCCCTGGGACGAGGAGGCTAGAGCTCTTCCCTGCAGAATCTTAAGTGGTCTAAAAAGAGAATTTAGAAGAGAACGTTGGTACAGCCGAAAGAATTATTTCATGAGGCTGACATAACCTTGAGGATAGGTTTAAAAAACAAAACCAAAACAAACAACGAAAAAAACACCTGTTGATCTCACTCAAAACAGACACAAAAGTCCTCAGCTAGAGCCAGCACCGCAATCTGTAGCAAAGGCCGTCCTCACAGCAAACTTCACCAAAGCCGATTTCAAACTCGGCGTCCTGGGAGGCAGATGCGATCCAGATAAACGCAGGTTGTGGGGGGGATAGAGCCAAAGTTTCCACCAGAGGGCTGGACTGGGAAAACACGATCTTGAGCAGCAAACTGGCCTCCCTCTTAGCTCCTAATGACGAGGTCACCAGGAGGCACGGTTGATGACTTGGCCCTCTGGGAGGCCCCTGCCAGCCCCAGGCCTCCTCTGAGTCACACTGGTCCAGGAAGCTGAGCTCTGATAAGGAGAATGCCTGCAGGATGTGGCATGACCCCACTTCCCCTGTGTTGTAATTGCTGGGCCTCGGCAGCAAGGTGCTACATTGGCTGTCCACTGTCATTCATGAGGCTGGCTCTTTGCGTGGGTAATTCCAAGTGGGCATCCAGGCCACAACCAGCCCAGAGCCACCGGCTGCTTCTTCAGGCTCCATGGCTTGAATGATGGGAAGTGAGGAACCCACTGGTCAGCGTGGCCCTTCTCCTCTTTCGTAAACCCCATATCCTTTACACCTGGGCCTGGCACCCTCCTTTCTGGGGATGGCATGAACGAGTGCCACTTCTCTGTTTCTCCTGAGAACCCCAGTTCAGTGGATGCTCTGGGCTCTGCAGCTGTCCACCTGAGGCAGACTCATGAACAGGATCCCAAAGGGGGGGGGGTCCCCTGCACCACCAGGGGCTGATCAGGCAAGCAGGTCTCCAGCACCTGCCAGGACACAGGCAGCCACAAGAACACACGGCCTCCTCACCGGGGCTCTGCCCACCTCCAGCCCCTTCCGTGTCCCTGGCTCATCTCCGCCTCCTCGCCATCCCCACTTCCCAAAGCTCCTCCCTGAGGACGAGGCCGTACCTCATCACCTCTTCTCCGTAGACATCCCCACGCTCCCCACCCACTCCACACCCGCCGCTGCCTAGGCTGCCTTCTATATTCATACACTCACTGTTTCTCCCAGTGCACCCTCTGTCCGCTTCCCAAGAGCAGGAGCTTCGACTTGCTCACCCGTGCCCTCTGGGTGTCCGAGTCAGTTGTCGGGCTGACTGATGGAGCCTGCCCCACGCTCTGACAGCCGTCATCAGTTAGAGGTTTGTACATAGATCCGAGTTTGGCTTCCCTAGACGTGCTCTGAGCAGAGAGCCCTGCGGATCTTGCCATTTCAGTGCTCAACCTGCAGGGCAAGGTTCCTCGCAGGTAACTGGTGTTGAGGTAGCAGATGCCTGGAGAGAAAGCCACAGAGGTGTCCCTCTGCCCTCCCACAGCGGGACCTTTGCAGACCTCAGATTAACCAGACCCAGGGAGAGCAGTGTGTGTGTGTGTTGGGGGGGGTGGCTGTCTGTGGCCTTGCAGGGGCTGGCATCCGCCTCAGGGCACAGAACTCATCCCTGGGGAGCCTCCGCGTACAGGCTTCCTAATGGAAATCCTGCTTGTAGGTTAAATAAGGGTGGGAGGCACAGGCTTCTGGCTTGGCAGTTAAGACAGCAGTCTAAGTGCTGTCTTTAAAAAAAAAAAAGCCAAGTGCTTGGGCCCCTGCCACCCACTTGGGAGATGGGGCTGGAGCTCCTGGCTCCTGCCATGGGTAGACATTTGGGGAGTGAGCGAGCCACCAGATGGGAGATATCTGCCTCCCTCTCAAATACATTTTAAAAATTAAAAGGAGGGGGTCTGTGCTGTGGCATAGTGAATTAAGTCACTGCTTGGAGTGCCAGCATCCTCGATGGGCTCCTGCTTGTATCCCGGCAGCCCTGCTTCCCATCCAGCTCCCTGCCTACCATCTGGGAAAGCAGTGGAGGATGGCCCAAAGCCTTGGGATTGTGCATCCACATCCTGGCTCCTGGTTTTGGATCAGCTCAGCCCTGGTCTTTGCAGCCACTTGGGAAGTGAACCAGCAGATGGAAGATACTTCTCTTTCTGCTTCTCTGTAACTCAAATCTCTTTAAAAAAAAATTTTTTTTTTAAGGAAAACATTTAAAAGCAAGAAAAGCTATTTTACTTTTTACAACATACATAAAAAGTATGGCCAAAGATTTCTATGTTGTATTAGCCAAGTGGTAAACAAGGACAGTGGGGCTGTCGAGGCAGCTCAGTGGCAGCTCATGGAGTGCCTCCTCCAGTTCCCCCGGCCCTGAGTGGGAACAGGCCCGTGCTCTCATCTGGAAAGCAGGGTGCACACCGTGAGCCAGGTGACCAAGGTGGCATGGTTTTAAATGAGGGCCTCCACCACCTGCCATGCTGGCTGTCAGAGGGAACCACCGACTGATGCTGACTGACGTCTAACCTCAGCAAACGGGGCTGTCCAGGACCCGGGGCATGGCTCACCCCAAACGGGGGGAACTCTGGGAACCCATGGAGGGGAAGGGGCTGAGAGAGGTGGGTGTGGCATGGTCAGAACAGCGGGAGTAGGTGGGGAATATGGTTTGGATTCCAACGTCCTGTCTCCCAGGTGGAGTCTGCTAAGGCCTGCTGGGGCAGTGATTCTGTCTGCTTCAGGAAACTGCTGCAGAATTGCACTGCGTGCACTCCCCGGGGCTGCAGGGCTGGGCCAGGAACTCCAGGCTGTAGCCTTTGCCCAGCAAACAGCTCCTGCAGAGCTCTTTGGCAGCCCAGGGCAAAGTCTATCTCCTTCCACCTGTCTCCTCAAGACTGAAACTTTGCCTTCCATCCCACGCGCCCACAGCACAGTCACACCCTGGTGGCACCCTGTGGGACCTTCCCTGGAATTCCCTTTCCTTGTTGGTGAGGTCAATAGATATGCATGCTGTCAATGAAACGAAGCCAGATCCCAGGTGAAGGCAGGGATGGTAGTGACCGGGAATGGACCCTAGAGAGAGCCCACAAGGAGGGGTGGGGCTCTGTGCCCTTCACTGTGTAAACAGAGCAGAGGCAGCAGGGACTGATGGCACCCAGGGCATCTAGAGGGCCAGGCCCGGAGCGGCCCAGCTCAACCAAACCTGGTCGCTGGCTTCCTGGAGTTTTCTGTGTGTGTGTGCTTGCATGCATATGTGAATGGCTGGGCGTGTGTGTGTTTGCATACGAATGTCCATGGGTATGTGTGCTAGTATGTATATGTCCCTGGGTATGAGTGTACATGTGTGCAGTGTGGGAGGGTTGTAGACATTTAAACATGTTCCTTGCTTCTTAAGGGAAACGCTGTTGATTGCAAAGCTACACAGCAGACCCTGAGCTCTGCTAGATTTCCCAGCTAATGCTGGTGGAACTGGGATAAAGTATCAGGCTGGGGACCTGGACCGGCTCCTCCTACCCCGAGGGGTCCGTGACCTTTGGCCTCTGCAAGCGCCATCCAGCACCCAGCCCAGGGCTTCCTCTGAGGGAGCCTGGCTAGCATCCCTCCCGATCTGCACCGGCTGGCTCAATCCTAGCTCCCTCACGTGCCCTGCCTGCCCCTGCAGGCTTGGCCCGGTCCAGCTGCACCTCCAGGTCCTGGGGGTGTGGGCTTGGGGTGGACCCAGGCCAGGAAGAAGCCAGGACAGGCATGCACGGTCCCTTGAAGAGACTCGCGCAGAGAGACCTGGGATAAGAACAGGGATCTCTCCAAGGCAGGCGGAGGAAGCGGCCAGGTGCAGGCGGGACTCGATCCACCCCGCGGCCCTGGAGGAAGGGGCGCAGTGATGCGTGTCCCCACCTCACCCTCCGGGAGCTGGGATGTTCACAGATCAAAGACTGGCGGCCACACCCGCAGGGAGTTGGCCGGGTCCACGCGATGCCCTCTCACCCCGGGCACCGCACACAGACGGGGCGGGGCGGGCCTGGGTGTTGGTGTAGAAAGCTCGCGGGACTGCAGAATGGTGCCGAGGAGTCGAGGGCAGGCTGCAGTGGGGTCGACGCAGCCCCCACAGGCCGGGCAGTGAGTGGTCCCGGATCCCCGGGGCTGCGGCTCCCGCCGCTGCAGTCTCCATCACGACCACGAGATGGCGCCAGGTCCCCACGCGCTGCCCGCGGCGCTCACCTGCCACACCTGCGGACGCGCCTTCACCTGCGTCCCGCCCGGGGCCCGCGCGGCTTCCTGGGACCAACTCCTCCCCGTACAAAAACGGCTGCAGCTGCCCCAGAGCTGCTGCCGGAGTTGCTGTTCCCTCCGCGTCTCCGATGTTGCTCCTGCTTCTGGCCTCCCACCGGGAGAGGTAGGTCGGTGACCCCAAGCCTCCCTCCGGTTCCTGCCCCAAGGCCGGTCCCTGAGCCAAGTGAGGCATCTGGTTTTCTGAGCATTTCAAAGTTATTTTGGTGAAACGTTAACGGGACGTGCTTTTTAAAACCCAAGTTTAAAACTATGGGACAACAAGGTGGTTATGGGTTCCTAAACAACGGGCGCCTGTGGGGCCGCTTGGCTGGGCACAGTGCGCGCTCCGAGCTGAGGCGCCCGGCGCACCCAGGGGGACCCAGGATGAGAGGAACCGCGCCCCGGCGTCCCGCAGGCTGGGGGCGGCCAGGGGAGCGTTCCCGGGCTGAGGGAACACGCAAAGGATGCCCGGGGAAAGAGCCAGCGGCGCTGGCCGCGGGGGTCTGGCCAGGTGTCCGTGGTTAGCGAAATCCGTGGCTGCGAGAGCAACCGGACCCCGCCGGCGCCGACGCCTGGTGCGGGAGGGAGCGGAGCTCAGGGCCGGGGCACGGCTGCTCCCCGCGAGCGGGAGGGAGACGACGTGTGGATGGGGTAAGAAGGGGCGTGAGCGAGCTGCGCGCGAGTGTGCAGAGCGAGCGGTGCGTGGGTCTGAGTGAGAGTTGTAGCTTCGAGTGCGAGTGTGGGCAAGCGTGCACGCGCGTGGGGACCGCTGGCGGGACATGCGTAAGGCCCCGTCCGCGAGTGCGGGGCACGCCTCCCCCTCCCCGCTGCAGGGAAACTCAAGTTTATTCGCCGGCACGTGACGCTGGGGCGCGGTGGCGGCTATCAGGAGATCAGACCATGTGAGGGGCTGTGAGTACAAATAGGGCTGGCACGGGCGCAGCTCGGCACAGGCGGTGGCCGCCCGGGTGCCTCGAGGGCGCCAGAGGAACCCCGCCTCCCGGCGTGCGGGACGGGGACCGGCCTCCGCACGCCCTCGGCCAGGTGGGTCCGCGCTCCTGGCCGCCTCCAGCCCACGCTTACTTTGTACAACTTCTCCACCGGTTCCTCAGGCGATCCTCGGTGCAACCCAGCCTCGAGCCCCCGGGGCCCCGGAGAGAGGGGCCGCGTGCCCGGGGACTGGGCTGCGGATTTTGCCGCCTGCACCCTCCGCTCCCTGCAAGAGCAGGTGCCCACCGCGGCCGGGCGGGGCTGAGCAGGGCACGGGGATGGTCTCGGTCGGGGAGTCCTTTGTTCACGAGGCGCGCGAGGTCTTGAGTGCGCAAAGTTGCTGGAGTTGCAGCCCGCGTTTTGGATTGGATCTTGGTGACTGGCAAGCACCAAGTGGCTGTAGGAAGGGGCGCTTTGGCGGGTGCCGGGGTTGGCACAGATGGCCGGGGAGATCTCGGAGGGACGCCTAAGTGGGTGAGGCTCGGTGCGCATGGGAGCGTTCGTGGGCAGAGTGGAGGAGCGCGCAGAACTGCAGGGGAATCCCCACTCCGCAGGACTGCGGTGCTCCTGGTGTGCGTGCGTATCTGGAGAAATGAACTTGCTCAAACTGGCTTGGCACGAACCCTGTGAAGCCCTCGCTGGGGAGTGCATCTGGTTCGGCTGCTGGGTCTTTTGCATATGGAATTGTGCCTTCTCCCAGTAGGAGTTCTGAAAAACTGGGAGGAGTAGCCTGTCTGGGAGTCTGGGACATCATAAAGGTTTTGTGTGTGTGTGCAACTTTATCCAGAAAAATGAACCAGGTCGATGGATTATTTATGAACCTGCTAGCTCTCATCATAGTAAGATGAGATCAAATATTTAATGTGTTTTGCCTTCAGTTACTCTGGAAAAATGTTTAAGAAGGCAGCCTTGGCATTTGTGTTGAGTGAGACAGAGTTTGGGGCTTTAGGAGCTCAGGCTGCTTAAAGCCTGGACACTTGGTTCGGTGTACACATTTCCTTGCGGTGTGGTGGGCGGGCGTGGCTGCCCCACCCAGGGCAGGCTCTTGCAAACTGAGCTAGTCCTGGTGGCCTGGGGTTTTGTCTCTGTCACTGAGCCTGAGTAAAAGCAGATTTCTTCACAAGTAACCAAAGGCTTTGGCTTGGATGTTTAAGCTCATTCCTACCTTCTCCTTGAAGAAATGCAAGGACCACAGGGTGGGGTGGGAGTGGCATGGTAGGGAGAGTTTCACAGAATTGGCGAGGCATCTGAGAATCCGCTTGTGTGTGTGTGTGTGTGGGGGGGAACTTTCAGAGTCATGCAAGTACCTTGACAAAACCTGGAGAGGCAGGCTGGGGAGTTTCCAAAGAGATGAGGGTTTAGGAGGTGCGCGGGACACTGCCCTGTGGAGGACTTGGCTGCCACCCTCCACACCTCCCATCAGAGAGAGGCAGCTGATGCCTGCAGGTGAGCCAGGACGTGGCTGCCCCCTCCACGCTGTCTTTGTCCACTGTCATGGCTGGAAAGAACAGGGGCAGGGCGGCCTGCAGAAGTTAATTTTACTTTGGCCCCAATGAATCAACAGGATATGGTGATGACTTGACTTTTCCTCTAGGAGTTGGGGGGCCTAGAGGAATGACAATATGGTTGTCTTTGCTGCTGTGGGAGAGGGAACTGGGAACTTCCCAATCCCCAACACGTTGGCTAACCCCTCTCTCTAGCAGTCCCTGAAGGAGGCCAGGCTGGCCTGCTTAGCCTGATCCCTGGGTCCCTGCTGATGTATCCTATAGGCGCAGATCAAAGCTGTGTTAAAAAAAAAACACAAGTCAAAATGATGGTGCAGAAAAGTCCTGGCAGCGAGGCTGAGCCCCGATGTGGCTGTCAGGTCAGGGTCTCGTCTGCTGGATGCCAAGCTCGACTGTGCCTCCCCTGATCCAGCCAGCACGGGCTGTTCCCTGCTCATGCCTGGCCTTGTGCTGACAGAAGTGACCTCAAGGCAGTGCTGGGCTCAGCTGGCCTTCACTGCCCCAAGAGGTGGGATGTTGACCGCATGGCTGCATAATCCAGCAGCGTCCCCAAGGCCGTGTCTGCCAAGGCTGAGGTTCCACCCCTTCTCCTGAGGAACCAGTTCCTGGGTCTCACCCGGCTAAACCACAGCTGGAAGAAATTTGAAGACCTGACAGCTCTCTCTCCAGGCAGGCCTCAGGTAATGAGCCCAGAGATGAGTTACCCTTGGGCAAGGCATGAGCCCTCCCAGGGACAGCACGGCCAGGCTGGGCTGAGCTGCTACCCCAAGTCAGGTTCACAGGTCTGTGATGCCAGCCCCGGGCCCGCAGGCACTGGCCAGGGAGGTCTCCTGCCTGAGGTCCAGTTCTTCCTGTCGTCATTCAAGACAGGAAGGATACCTGAGAGAAGGGCGGCACCGAGAGCAGCTGGGTCAAGAGCCGGCTGTGTGCTCTGGGAGGATCCCTGGTCCCTGGGCTGGGGACCTGCCGCGGCCCCCCCACCTTGCTGTGTTTTCGTGTGGTCTTTCTGGGCGTCTTCGAGGAGCAAGGTGTGCATTGCCTTGGTTACTGAGCTGCTGGAGTGCACCAAGCGACTTAAGGAAAAAGTTGTCAGCTGAAACTGGAATTTGCCTCACTCTGGGTCCCTTGGCTGTGGGGGATGTGGAAGGGCCTGAGGGGTGACCTGTGCAGCCCAGGGGCTCAGCAGGGCTCGCCTGGGGCTCTCACGGCACAGCCAGACCCAGACCTTGAGCTTCACAGTGCAGTTCCTTTCTTTCCCCTGTTAAGGGCAAGGTGAGTCACCTTTCAAATGCCAAGCGAATGAGCTGGCCCTGGGCTCAGAGGACAGGACCTGGGCTGCGGACGGGGAAGGACTGGAGGGGAGGGCACCCTCCCAGGTGGCTGGGCTGATTTGGGGTCACCCAACACCTATCTGGATCTGGGGGCTGACAGTTTTTCTTTCCCCCAGTTTCTGAACAACTTTACAAAGTCAGAGCTCCAGTTCGGCAGATGTTAAAGTTTTGTCCTATTTGTGCACAAGGTTGCTGTCTCTAGATGCGTCTAATTCTTACATATGCATACAGACACACTTGGACTTCCAATTTTTTATTATTATTACATTGCATTATGTGACACAGTTTTATAGGTACTGGGATTTCCCCTCCCTCCCCAAACCCTCCCCCCATGGTGGATTCCTCCACCTTGTTGCATTACCTACCGCAGTTCAAGCCCAGTTGAGATTCTTTCATTGCAAGCATGTACCAAGCATAGAGTCCAGCATCTTATTGTCCAGATAAGTACAACGGCTTGTTGGGGAGACCATCTCTGGTCTGCAGGTAGAGCCAGCAGAGTATCATCCCGATCAATTAACATCAGCAACAATTTATAACGTTATGGAATTAATTGACATAGTATTGAGTAACCAATGTGTTAAAAAAAAAGCATGTTCTTAACCATATCCTGTGACTGCTTCATTGACATTTCAATTTTAGTTTATATACAACGGGGTTCTATACATCTTAAAATGGCTATAGATTACTGTTCAGCTGTCTTGTGTCTATTTTCATGATCATATTTAGCATTATATAGCGTTGAAGCATAATTTTGCTGAACCTGGCTGTTTTTTGGGCAGTCTAGACTGGCTTATAACTCTAACAAGGCATATGTCAACAGTTTAGGTGCAGAACAGTTTTAGGAGGGATGTGTAGAGAAATCTTCAATACCCTAGTGAGGAGTAACTTATCTTCGTGTCCTACCTAGTAAGGTATAAGTGAATTCACGCTGACCATTTCCTGTCTGATTCTAAGCCTTCCTTGTTGTTCTGTCTGATTCTAGATTTTTGTTTGGTTGGTTATTTGTTTGTTTTGAGGGGTGTCCAAAGCAACCCTGATGGTCATTGCAAGAGAGGGTGGGGACCCCAAGTTGGAACCAAGTGAGGACCAGACAGAGCTCCTCTCCCTAGTCCCGAAGGAAGTTTACTGTTCTGTTTCTGCGGACTGCTCGGGGCTCCTGGCTGTTGTTCTGATGCCCTTGGATCCTGCAAGGGAGGATTTGGGCTTCTTCCATTCCACGTGGTAGATCCAACCGGGAGTGGATGACCTCAGAGTTCTCGGCCTCCGAAGGCACACCAATTCCCCGTGGTCTCCTTGGCGGTTGGGATGTAGTCCTTGGTGCCCGTACTGATAGTCCTTGGTGAGGATCCGGGAGTCTTCAGGTTTGGGATACAAGCCTCCTCCTGTTGGACTTTCAATATTTAGCTCTGTTTTTTTTTCTTCATGCTTTTGTGGGTACTTCCAAAAGTTCGTGGGATGTAGAATTAAAAGATAAGTTTATTTTGGTCTGGAGATGTTTTGAAATCCATGCATAGTTTTTCGATAATATTCATTTTCCTTGAACTTTTTGAAGATCTGTCCTACAGAATTGGATTTACTGTGCACTTAGTAGAAGGATACAACTTATGTGTAATTTTTTCCATGGGCTCTGTAAGAGTTTAGTTCACTCCCCAAGTAGTCTCAATGGCTGGAACTGAGACAATCTGAAACCAGGAGCCAGGAGCTTCTTCCGGGTCTTCTGTGCAGGTACAGGGTCTAAGGCTTTGAGCCATCCTCCACTGCTTTCCCGTACCACAAACAGGGAGCTGGAAGGGAAGTGGATCAGCTAGGATAACGAACCAGTCCCCATATGGATGCTGGCACATGCAAGGCAAGGACTTTAGCCACTAGGCTACCACGCCAGGCCCTAAAAATAAATTAAAAAATAGTAATAAAATAAAAATCCACATGGCTCTGGGTAGAGAAAGGCTCCCTAGTCCTGATGTAAGAGCAGGGTCCCCTTGTGACCATCACAGCCACGTGGCCTCCCACCCACCTCCGCAACTTCCTGCTGCCTCTCCAATTCCACCACGATCCCTTTCTCCCCTCCTCTCTCCCCCCATGTCCAGTCCCCGCAGGTGGACCCAGCTCTCCCCTTCATCCTTGCACTGGGGTGTGTTCCTTCTCCTCTGTTCCCACCCCTCCCCCTGCCATCCCACGCTGGAGGCCTAATCATGTCTTTTTCACACGCATGCCATCT